AGAAGACCCAATCACTAGTACCGTGTCATATTCAGGAAGAACAATAGTCAATTGGAATATAGATGGTATGTCTGACCATCAAATACTTGATACAATGAAACATATGACCATGTACGCCACAGCATGCAAGATAGGTGGAAACCATGATCAAGAGATAGCTAAAGCAATCATCTGTGGTTTTACTGGATGGTTAAGAGGATGGTGGGATTTCTACATGGAAGAAAATACAAAAAATGAGATACTGACAGCTACAAGACAATGGACTGTGAAAATTGAATACGGTCAAGAAATAACCAATAACGAAAGCGATGCAGTCAATACATTGATATATGCAATCACACTTCACGTTGTGGGGAGCACTGCACTTTTAGATGCTAGGTCTGAAGACCTCCTGTCCAATCTTAGGTACCCTACATTGTCTCATTATAAATGGTATAAAGATGTATTTTTCTCCAGGCTCCTTTCCAGAGACGATAGTAAATCAGACCACTGGAAAGAGAAATTCATTATTGGAGTACTCCATTTATTTGGCGAAAAGGTCAAAACCAGACTGAAAAATAAACATGGTGGAACAATCCCATATACCCTTTATACATTAGGAGAACTGTCTGCAGAAATTTGTGCAGAAGGTCTTGCCCTCTGTACAGACCTGAAATTAAAAAGGCAATTGGAAAAACAAAAAATGACAGGCAGAAAAGAACTGGGAGATTTCTGCGAACAATGTGGATTCAATACAATACCAATAACTAAAGATGCTAATAGAAGAAAATATAAGCCTAAAAAGTACAAATCAGGAACCAATAAATCTATAAAAGAGAAATTCTCTAAAAAATTCTCACCTAAAAATAAGTTCAAAAAATATAAAGGGAAAATAAAAATACCTGCCTGTTATAACTGTGGTAAAGTAGGACACTATAAAAATAAATGTCGAATAAAAAAGAAAAAGGATGCCCTATAAACAGAAGAGAATATAAAAAATCAATTACTGCATATACTACAAATAAATGAAGAATCTTCAGATAATTCATCTGATTCTAGTACTGAACTACTTGCTGTGGAAATAGAGAATGAAGATTTGATTCTCAGTAGTACTGATTCAGAAGATAATACTAGTTGCTTCTGTAATACACTCTCTAAAGAAGAGAATCTAATTATCAATATTTAGATAAAATAACTGACCCTGAAGAAAAAAGGGAAGCCTTAATACAATATATTAATATTGCAAAAACAAATAAGAAACCTCCTCCTGTTGTCAAAACAAGAAGATTATTATTTTGCCAAAATACTAAGAAGAGTTGAAGAAAAGAATAATGTTAAAAAAGAACCATCCATATCAGAATTAAAACATGAGATAAATGAAGTACGTAATGAATTAATAGGTTTAAAAAATAGGATACAGATTTTAAAACTAGCCTCTAACTATCAAGAAAATAGTTCTGATAATTCTGATGAAAAATTAGAATTCAATAAAATTATAAACAAATATAAGCAACCAATACCTCCTACTAGTCATGAGCCAGAATGTTCTAGCACCATACAAACTGATAATTATGTAAACCTACTTGACAAAGTGGTTACCCAAAAATGGTTTTTATTAGTAAAGATAATAGTCAATATGGAATACAGTTTTCAAAGTTTAGCATTAATAGACTCTGGTGCCGATCTAAATTGCATAAATGAGGGATTAGTCCCCACTAAATATTTTAGTAAAACCACTCAAATATTAAATACAGCTGATGGGAGTAGATTAATAATAAACTATAAACTTTCCAATACTGCTGTTTGCAATAATGGAAATTGTTTTGAAATGCCTTTTATAATGGTAAGAGGATTAAGTCAAGCGGTAATACTTGGAAGTCCATTTCTCAATATGCTATATCCACTTAAAATAGATATTTCAGGAATAGAAGCTAATAGTCAAGGACATAATGTAAAATTTGGGTTTATCAAAAAACCAAAAACCCGAGAGGTAAATAGTATTAAGGAAGCAATTCATAATAAAGAAATATTCTTATATTATCTTAAAGAAGAAATAAAATACAAGACAGTGGAAGAAAAACTTTCAAATTCAGAAAATAAAAAAGAAATTGATGATCTATTGCAGAAAAAGCTTATTTGAAAAAGCTCTTCTCCTTGGAGCTGTTCAGCATTCTATGTGGAGAAAGCATCAGAGAAAGAAAGAGGGGTTCCTCGACTGGTAATAAACTATAAACCCCTAAATAAAGTCCTAAGGTAGATAGGATATCCAATTCCAAATAAGAAGGATTTGCTTGATAGACTAGTTGATGCTTGCATCTTTTCTAAATTTGATATTAAGTCTGGGTATTGGCAAATACAAATTACTGAAAGAGATAGATATAAAACTGCTTTCAATGTCCCTTTTGGACAATATGAATGGAACGTAATGCCTTTTGGACTTAAAAGTGCTCCATCTGAATTTCAAAATATTATGAATGATATTTTTAATCCTTACACAAAATTCATGATTATTTACATCGATGATGTCCTGATATTTTCCAAAAACATTGAGCAACATTTCAAACACTTAAATGCTTTTATCAAAGCAATAAAGATAGCAGGATTAGTAGTCTCAGCCAAAAAGATGAGTCTTTGCTAAACCAAAATACGATTCTTAGGATATAACGTCTTTCAAGGAAGCATAATTCCCATTGATAGAGCAATTGAATTTGCTGAAAAATTTCCTGATATTATCATAGATAAAACAAAACTTCAAAGGTTTTTGGGATGTCTTAATTATATCGCAGATTTTTGTAAAAATTTAGCCATTGATGCTAAACCATTATTCCAAAGACTAAAGAAGAATCCATCAAAATGGACTGAAGAACTGTCAAAAAAATAAAAGCTAAAGAGTTACCCTGTCTTACTCTCTCAAATCCTACTGCCTTTAAGATAATAGAATGTGAAGCCTCCGAAATAGGATTGGGAGGAATTCTTAAATAAAGAATTTCAAATACCGAACAGCTGGTTCATTTTACATCTCGAGCTTGGAATCAAAAGCAACAAAATTACTCCACGGTTAAAAAAGCAAATTTAGCCATTGTTCATTGTGTTACCAAATTCCAAAACGATTTATTAAACCAAAAGTTTCTTATTAGAACTGATTGTAAAGCTGCCAAATATATTCTTCAAAAAAATGTAAAAAATCTTATATCCAAACAAATATAT